CGGTTCGGCAGTAAGGTGCTCTCCCCCGTGTGCCCCGGTCGCCTGCTTCCTGCTGCTGTTCGGTACTCCGCTTGGGGCTAAGCCGTTTCTGGGCACAGCTGGTGGGACAGTTCCTACATGAAACACTCGTGTTTTGATGCGTTTAATGCTTTCCTGCGCCGCCAGGAGTTAGGGACCTTGGCAGGTTCTCGTGGATGTGCATTGAGATTCTGCGTGAGCAGCTCCGTAAGGGTCAGCACTGCCTCAGTCTCACTACCAAATCACTTCATAGCCCAAACTCCTGGCACTGGCTCCAGGATTGGATTCTGGACTGTGTTTCTTTTGTGCAGACCTTTACTGAAGAGGCTTCTCAGCTTCTGTTGCTCATGTTATCATTTAAAACAGAGTTTGTTGGCTCAGCATAAACAGTGACAGGAATGCTTTCCAAGGTAATTGAGCTCTGCAGCTCCACTGTCAAACCTGGTGCTTGTCCAGGCCGATTCAATGTCTGAATGCAGTAAATACTGTTTAGACGAACATTACGATGTGCAGTTACACATATCTCGATTCAATTTCTGCAATGCTGACTTGCTTTCCATCTAGCATTTCCACACAGGATTCAAGAACGTGGCAGCTTCCATGTCACTCGAGGGTAGACAAACTGTGGTTCAGAGCATCAAGTAACCAGAAAGGAAAGCACACAGATCCATAGGCCTGTACCTTAAATCACAGTGGTTGATGCATCAGCCTGAATTATTGTCTTTATTTAGCAGTCTGTCCTTAGAAATTGTTTTTCTCCCTGGATATCAGATAGTGACTGTCACAGATTATCTTGTCTGTTTATTTCACCATGGCTGCTGCTTCTGATTGCACAACAATGGACTTTTTGCCCCCTTTGTTCTCTCCTGTTTTTCTTCCTCATCTTTTCACATTCAGCCTTTACAAATAACCTATGAGACTTTGCTTCCATAACACTTCTCCCTCCCTAATCCATCAGCTGGCCCCATGTCCACAGTATAACAAACCTGCAAGCTGTTCTGTATCAAAGGTTTTGGTTCTCCTAAGTTTCGTGTCCTCCTGTTAACAACACCCAGAGCACAGACAATCTAATCTGTGTTATAAACTGCATCTGTGAAAATTGAGAATCACTTTAGCTCTTTTAGAAGTGTTTTATTTTCTTGTCTGAGGCTTTCATGTCATTAGCACCTGTTTCTGTCCAGGCTGCCAGCCCACCATGCTGATTTCCAGTCCCCAAGTCAGGAGGACCCGACTCCTCTCCCTCCCATCAGCGAGCGCCTGGCCCTGCTCCATCCCTCCCGCGAGCTGCTGGACTACTACCGCCAGAGGATTGCTGCCTTCGATGAGGAGCGGGAGGATTTGGTGAACAGGCTGGAGAGATACAAAGAAACACATGATGAGCAGGTTAGGAAACAAGTTTTTGAACAATGATGGAATAATATCCATACACAAATTTAGTGTTTTTCTTCTATTGACGATTCAGCACAGATGTCGTAAGATTTACACTAGTGTGGTAGGATTGAGCTAAGAATAAATGAATAGATTTGGGGGTTTAATTGTAACATTTATCTCTATCAAAGCCAACAGAAACATGCCCATAGAATATTCTAAAGTTGTTACAGTTTGGTGATGTCTTCACAGTGGGGTTTTTGCTTCTGTTTTTTAATCTTAAGGCCTGAGTTTAGATGCTCAGACTCCATGCTGTCCAACCTCTTT